GGTCCCCCTAGTAGAGCTGGATATCCACGAGGCAGCCAGTATGACAGAGGCCTCGGCTGCTGGGATGTTGGCTGCAGGAAACTGAGCAGTGTGAGGGCGTCTGGGCATTCCACTCTGAGTACTCACCTGAGCTCTCTGGAATCTGGGTCTGTTGCCCTGGTGGCTGAGTGTGGGGAGTGTAGAGCTATGGTCTGCCCTGAGGGTGTGGTAGGTCCAGTGTGGGAGGGATCCAGAGTCAGGGCCAGACTTGGGTTTGCTCCGGGAAGGAAGGGGTGTGATTGAGAGAGGAACTTCTCCATTACCCTCCTTAGCACCTGAGCTGCAGCCAAGCTTAGAGTAATCTACAAAGCCAAGATGTGAGTTTAGTGTTTAGTTGTGATTGAAAACACAAGAATAAAAAGGCAAAGAGCCCAATGTATGCATCTTTTTAAAATTTAGTTTAATTAATTAATTTATTTATTTTGAGAAGGAGTCTTGATCTGTCGCCCAGGCTGGGTCTGGTGGCATGATGTGGCTCACTGCAACCTCCGCCTCACGGGTTCAAGCGATTCTCCTGCCTCAGCCTCCTGAGTAGCTGGGATGACAGGCACCCACCGCCACACCCAGCTAATTTTTTTGTATTTTTAGTAGAGACGGGGTTTCACCATGTTGGTCAGGCTGGTCTTGAGCTCCTAACCTCAGGTGATCTGCCCACCTTGGCCTCCCAAAGTACTGGGATTACAGGCATGAGCCACCGCACCTGGCCCTTTTTTATTTTGAACTCTCACGGTTCTGAGCTGCCCTCAATTCCACCCTACAGGGCAGGCCGACAGAGGGATTTTCTAAGTCGTCCCAGCCAAGGGAGGCTGGTGAGTGGGGAAAAATGGGTACTCACTAGACAGAAGCGGGGCAGGTCATGTTTCCCAGGGCCGTCTTAGAGGCACCCGTGCTTCTAGTCAGTGCAGCCTGCATGCAAGCCCCCAGCATTGGGCCTCCAGGCTCTGACCACAAGGCCAGTCTGGAGTAATATGTGTGAGCCAGAGTTGGAAAGAGACAGTGGTGGAGCAGAGCATGGATGCACAAGTGAAAGAACAAAGACACTGGAGTCATCACCTGAGGCCAGCCTTTAGTTTCATGGCTCTCGGAGTATCGCTAGAAGATCCTAGAAAAACAGCAGCTTGTGGCACAGCGCTTTTGCATTTCCTGGGTTTTGGGAGGCTTCAAGAGACCAGAGGAGGCTGAGGCTTGGAAGCCACAGGGCCCTGTGGAAGGGAGGAGCATCCCCATCCTCCTCGTTCTTTGTCCTCACTGGCCCAAGTTCAAGGTCAAGCTGGGCATGAGACAGGTAACCATCTGAGTAAAGGTGAGTTCTAAGCTTTCCAGAATTGCCTGGGTTCAGAGGCAAGCGGGCAGGTGGGAGTGTGGGAAGCTGAGGCACGGGGCTTCCAGGCAGAAGAAGAGCCTGCTCACATGCTAGGGCCACAGGCCGTCCTCCCTCCTCTGGGAAGCCCCTTGACTGGCAGGACCGTAGGCCTACTAGCTCTGCCCCGCCCTCAGCAACCAACGAAGCACCCTTGACTCAGACTTTGTATTGCCTTCCAGAAAAAAACCCCAGACCATGATGGGTGGCACAGAAAAAAGGTGGGAGGGGGGTTACACAGATCAATCCTATGAGGCAGGGGTGACTATTATTCACATCTTAGAGATGAGAAATGGAAATTGGGAGTTAAAATCCTTGACCCCAGGGACTAAGCTGGCCAGTGTCCTGTGAGCATGAACAGTTACTGATTGAGTCACAGCCTCACCACTGCAGCCAGAGCTGCAGGTCACTGAACCTCTGCAGGACAAGCCCTCTACTCTCCAAGATGCCGAGAGCTCAGTAGAAGCCAGGACCATCGTCTGTTATTTTATTAACTATTTGTTGGCCATCGGCTCTGTGGGACTGTTCTACAGCAGTGACAAAACTGCCCTCAGGCAGTTTAGTACACAGGTTCGGATGGGGTTTAATGAGATGCATAACATTTGTAGTATGACAGACAATAAAAGTGTTCAGGAAGGTGGGCGGGCAGGGAAATTGCACAAGAAAGAGCCGCAATTTTATTGTATTTTATTTTCTTAGAGACAGAGTCTTGGTCTTTCCCCCAGGCTGGAGTGCAATGGGAGTGATCTGACTTTCACTTCGCCTCCAACTCTGAGGCTCAAGTCATCCTCCACCTCAGCTCCCCGGTAGCTGGGATACAACCATATTACCACCATGCCCGGCTTCTCAGGGCTGCCAATTTTTAAATCGAGCTGATAAGGAAGACCTCCTGTGGAAGGCAGAAGGTGTAGAGAAGAACCTTCCAGTCAAAGGAAAAAGGCAGGTCCTGCTGTTCTCAGGAATGGCCATAAATACTATGTCCCATCTTAGAGAGGGGAGACAAGTACGCAAAAAAATTGTCAGGGCGTTTCCTGGCTCCTCAACAGCTGGATCCAAAGTCCTCTGGAGGATAAGCCGCCCTGCCTGGGGCCGGCCTCCTGGAGAGGCGCGGTAGCGCAGGCGCACAGGCCTCTTGGGGCCAGGACGGCTCAGGCTCAGGCTTGGCGTCAGCGGGACCTCGGCGTGGCGCCCTGGGGCGGAGGAGGCCCGAAGGCCAGTGGTCAGTGCGGGCGGCGGGGCGGAGGTCGAGGAGCAGCCCGGGACCCGGGCGCGCCCAGAGGCGGGGATGCCAGGCCCACGCCCGAACCGTGGCGGGTCACGGGCGGTCAGGGCTCCAGGCAGGGTCGGACCCAAATCCGGGCCACATGCCGCCGCGGTCTCCTTCCTTACCCGAAGGCGGCCAAGGCAGACGGGGAAGCCGTGCAGCAGGCACAATCCTGGGGGAGAAGAACATTGATGTCCTGTAGGCCCGCGCGCGCCACTGCAGGCGTGGCCCAAGAGCGCCCTCGCAGGTTCCCTCTATCCCACCTGAGAGCAGAGTCCTCACTCCCGGCTTCAGCTGAGCCCCAGGCCCTGCAACTCCTGAAGGCAGGCCCCTTGCACCTGCCCACCTCAGGCCCTGCCTCCAGGCAGCCGGAGTACCTACCTCTTCCCGCTCCTCTCCCTCCTGTACTCCACCCACGACCCCAGCGTGCCCATCAAGACCCTGCGCTGGACCCCAGCCTGGATCATCACACCCTTACCTCAGACAGCTTCTCCCGGTTCCACCGCCTTGAGATTCCCAGGGCACAGCCTCCCGTTAGGCTCCTCCCCTCACGACTAGCTCAGTCCTCGCCCTAGACGCCCCGCCCATGTCACAGGCCTGGCGGGTCCCTCTCATCAAGGCCTTGTGCCCCCGGTTCCACTTCCTCCAGGAAGCCTTCCTCCGAGACAGAGAGACCACCCCTCTTATCAGGGACACTGCGCCCTGGTCTGCAGCTCCATTCTTGCGGCCCCCATTGTGCTGCTGGACCCGGCAAGCAGGGTTGACAGTGAACCCCACATAGACAGGGCCGGGTACCAGGGATTCAGGCAGTAGAGCAGCTGGAGCGCCCTGAAGTGCCCGGCCTCACCAGTTCCGCTGGACCATCGAATTTTAGAACTTTTCACTAACGAAACACTTTTCTGTGTCAGCACCGACATCAAGAAGAGAACCTCACCAGTACCTCAGAAGCCGCTTTGTCCCCCGCCTGGTTTCTTCCCTTAGGTGCCTGCTGTGCTGCCATCTCACCCATCTGTAGTTCAGCGCAGCAACCCTGTAGGCCACCTGTCGATCGGAGTCACAGTCCTGCTGGACCCTCCAGGTTCACTCAGGGGCTGGGAGGCTCCCGGGAGTCCTTCAACAGCTCAGTGCAGCATGCTGGGGGGTCAGGGCCAGCACCTGTCCCTAGGGCCTCAGGCCTCCCTTCCTTTCCACAGTGGCCAAGATCTCAAGGTCTCTACAATGACTGGAGCCACCCGGAAGACCATGCGCAGAGGGGTGCTGATGACCCTGCTGCAGCAGTCGGCTATGACCCTGCCCCTGTGGATCGGGAAGCCCGGTGACAAGTGAGGGCAGCAGCTGCGAGGGAGGGGCTGGTGCCCAGGGGCTGGGACTGACCCTTTGTTCTGCTCACAGGCCCCCACCCTCATGAGGCCATCGCCTCGGGGACTACGTGGCCAGACCTGGAGATAAGGTGGCTGCCCGGGTGAGGCCGTGGATGGGGGCGGAGCAGTGGATCCTGGCCGAGGTGGTGAGTTACAGCCATGCCACCAACCATTAAGGTGACACCAGCCCGAGGCTGCAGCCCTCCTGTCCCCTTTTGCTTCAGGATGGCTTCTCTATCCTGTTTGAAGACACCTCCTGTAGAAGGCTACTCCCCTCACCTCAGTGTGGCCCAGAGGTAGCTGGTGGCTTCCAGGAGCCCAAGAAAAAGTAGCGCCGCCCGGTAGACTCGACATCCTCCACCATCCTGGGGCAGGACAGCAGGGGATATGCTGGGATTAAACAGACATCCCCTCTCCACACATCTCCTGGGTTTTACTTCTCCAAACCCCTCTCCCCTCCCCAGATATGGTGACCTAGGGAGCTGGAGGCTGGGGGAGAGGTGACCATATCTGGCCCCACTGGGCATTCACTCTTTCAGCTCAGAGTTTCTCTTCCTTTCCAATATAGGCTCTACATGAACACAAATCGTATTTTATTTTGTTAGACTTTATTTTCTTTGGAGAGGTCTTGCTTGTCATCCAGGCTGTAGTGTATGGGCATAATCGTAACTCATGGTATCACAGCCTCTGGGCTGAAATGATCCTCCAGCCTCTGCTTCCCAAGTAGCTGGGACTACAGGTAAGTGCCAGCACATGTGGCTAGTCACGTTACATCTTTGTAGAGATGAGGTATCACTATTTTTACCAGGCTGGTCTCAAATGTGTGGCCTATTGTGATCCTCCCAGCTCAGCCTCCCCAGATGGCTTGGATTGCAGGCGTGAGCCCTGCTGCCTGACTCAAAAATCATACTTTATTCTTAGGCCCATTGGTCCAGGCTTGATTCGCACACTCCTCTGCAGTGACTCAGAGTCCCTCTCACAGCTCAGAGCGGAAGCTGAGGCTGCAGCCTGCCATTTTCTCCGCATAGATCCGCGCCAGGCTGAGCTCATTCTGCGCCACGGTAAAGGTGGTTTTCCAGTCCCCAGTCATGCCTGGGGGAGGAAGGGAGGAGTAAAGCTGGAGTCCGCCCAAAGGGAAGCTCTGAGTGCCAGATAGGGGCTCCAGCTGCTGCTCCACGGCCCCAAACCCCGTGCTGGCCAGCGCCCACCTTTCCTCATGAAGGGGAGATGCTGTAGTCCATGTACTCCTGGGGGACAGTGAGGTGGTGCTGTAGGTTCTTCTTGTCTCCCTGAATGACGTGTATTGAACCATGAGGTCACGGTCTCCTCTGGCAGGAGCGCCCCTGCAAACTCCAGGATCTTTTGAATCTCCCTTTTGGGGTTCTGAGCAGCAGAGGCTCCTCAGTGGAGCAAAACAAAACAAGTCCCCTCTCTAACCTCAGAGGGGATCTGGCCACTCGAAACCCCGAAGAGCCTTGATCCCTGGGGCCCCTGTCTGGGTAAAATAGTTACTCTCTGCCCTGTGATCCCATCATGAGACTGGGCTTGGCTCCTATAGGTGAGACCGGGATAGTCTTTTCCGTGACTGGGGCCCTAGGTGGCACACCCTTTGAGTGAGATAATCAATAGGACTAAGTATCTAATCTGTGGCCCCCATGCAGCTGACTCAGCTGCGGGAGACAAAACTGTGTGGGAGTCCGCTGTCAGAGTGAGGCTGTAGCGGGGGGAGCCTGGGCCAGGGGAGGCAGGATGGGAATCTGGGCCTGTTGTGGGGGCCGCCCAGAAACCAGGGCTGGGTGGCCTTGGCAGGTCCTGTGGGGTGCCTGCCCCCCAAGTGTCACATGAGGAAGCATCACAGGTGGTCTCACCTCCTTCATGTCTTCATAGAAGGAGGTAGAGAACAGGAGTGGGTGTGGCTCGGCTCCACCACTCCTGCTGCGATGCTGAGTACCAGGACCCGTAGGACACTGGAGAAGGCGGGCAGGGGGCAGCGACACAGGGTTGCACTGTGCGTTGCCATGGCCCAGCACCTCTCGGCTCCACACCCTCCTTCCTCCCGTCAAACCCACCTTCTCCGGCCATGAACTACTCAGGAAGCTGTCCCAGGTCCCAGGCTCGGGGTCGCGCTCTTTTTGCCATACGGTGGAAGTGGTAGTAGGAGACTGCCACATCCTTTGGAGTTTCAGGCAACATAGACCACCTGCAGGGGCAGAGGACCCAGCCCCAGCGCCATGACCACACAGCTGCGCCCCAGGCCAGCTCTCACCTCTTGGATTAGCAAAGAAGAAGGAGGAACCTGAGGCTTAGAAGGCTGAGCTTGCTTGAGATCTCACGGCACAGGTAGGGCCAAGCTGGGATCTAACCCTGCTCAGAAGCCAAAGTCCTGCCTGGTCCCTGAGACCATATTCTATACTAATAAAATCTGCATCAATGCTGTCCACACTCCGATCTGGAGCAAGGCATACCCAGTCCCCACCAGCCTCCTCTGCCCCGGCCTGCTTGAGTACCCACACACTGCCTTTAAGTGTGCACTGTAGAGACTCACTATCTTGGCTTTAGGACCTTCATCAGAGCAAGAGATACACAGTGTCCTCTCTCAAGATGTGATGAAGGCTGAGCCACGGTGGCTCACGCCTGTAATCCCAGAACTTTGGGAGGCCAAGGTGGCCCGATCACCTGAGGTCAGGAGTTCAAGACCAGCCAACATGTAAACCCCATCTCTACCAAAAAAATACAAAATTAGCCAGGGCGTGGTGTGAGGTGCCTGTAATCCTAGCTCCTTAGGGAGGCCAGCTGAGGACAGGAGAATGCTTGAAGACCCAGGGAGGCGGAGTGAGTTGCAGTGAAACCCAGAGATAATAGCATCATTATGTGCTCCAGCCTGAGGCACTTAAAAGTGAAACTCTGTCTGGGAAAAAAAAAAAAGAGAGAGAGAGAGAAAGAAAAGGCCAAGCTGAAGTGGCTCACACCTGTAATCCCAGCACTTTGTGAGGTCGAGGCAGGAGGATCACAAGGTCAAGAGTTCGAGATCCGCTTGACCAACATGGTGAAATTCCATCTCTACTAAAAAAAATACAAAAATTAGCCGGGCATGGTGGCATGCCTAAAAAAAAAAAAAAAAAGAGAGAGAGAGAGAAAGAAAAAAGGGCCAGGCACAGTGGCTCACACCTGTAATCCCAGCACTTTGTGAGGTCGAGGCAGGAGGATCACAAGGTCAAGAGTTCGAGATCCGCTTGACCAACATGGTGAAATTCCATCTCTACTAAAAAAAATACAAAAATTAGCCGGGCATGGTGGCATGCCTGTAATCCCAGCTACTCAGGAGGCTGAGGTTGCAGTGAGCCGAGATCACGCCACTGCACTGCAGCCAAGGTGATAGAGCAAGACTCTGTCTCAAAAAAAAAAAGATGTGGTGATGAGCCTCGTAGAAGTGAGGAGGCCCTTCCAGAAGAACAGGAACATGGCTGGGGGGCGCCTGAGCTCCCCTTCCTGGCTTTCTTTGCCACTCAGCAGGAACTTTTTTTTTTTTTTGTAGAGATAGTTTTGCTGTGTTGCCCAGGCTGGAGGGCAGCAGCAGGATCAGAGCTCATTGCAGCCTCCAATTCGCATAAACAATCCTCCCCGCTGAGCCTCCTAAGTGGGAACAGTCTGTGCCACCACACCAGGGTTTTAATTTTTTTGTAGAGACGGGATGTCATCTCTACAGCAATGTTGCCCAGGCTGGTCTCCATCTCTCCCCTTCAAGGGATCCTCCCACCTCAGCCTCAAACTGGGATGACAGGTGTGAACCATTGTGCCAGGTCTCACCTTGACCTTCTGATCCAACAGAGTCTGGGGGAGCAGGGCCAGGGGCAGGTGTGACTTGATGAGCCGTGGGGCCGGTGTGTCTTTCAGAATCTCCATCCCTGAGCAGTGGGTCAGGGAAGGTCTGGTGAGCTGAAGCCCCAGCCCTGTCTTCCTCCCCTCCACTTGCACCCAGGACCCAGCCATGCACCTGAGGGATCCCCTGGATCATTGGCCTCAAGGAAGGGCACCCGTATGTAGATGGGAGCCCGGTTACACTTCTCCAGGTCGCCGCCCTGGTAAATCATGTCCAGTATTTGGCTCACCCAGGTGGTGCCTGGAGAGGGAGGGAGATGGGAAGTGAGCAGGCCAAGGGCACAACCTTGCTGGCCAAGGTGGGGACTGCCACCTGGGAGAGGGTGGGTGGCCCTCCTCACCTACCGGACTTGGGGTAGGTGCTGATGAGCAGATCATCGGGCTGGGCTTGGAAGCTCTGCAGGGGTCCCAGTGCCTCTGCAAAGCACTTGATGAGCGGGACCCCCTTCACGTACTCCAGTGGCAGGCGGGAAGCATCCTGGATCAGCTCCATGTTCCTGCGTCAGGGGCCAGAGCCAGGCCCATTCCCTTAACACCATCACAACAGCACCATGTGCGGAATTCTTTTTTTTTTTTTTTTTTCCTCAGATAGAGTCTCACTCTGTCACCCAAGCTGGGGTGCAGTGGCACAATCTCAGCTCACTGTAAACTCTGCCTCTTGGGTTCAAGCAATCCTCCCGCCTTGGCCTCGCAAGTAGCTAGGATTACAAGCATGTACAACCACGCTCAGCTAATTTTTTTTTTTTTTTAAGTAGAGACAGGGTTTCACCATGTTGGCCAGGCTGGTCTCGAACTCCTGGCCTCAAGTGATTCATCTGCCTCAGCCTCCCAAAGTGCTGGGATTACAGGTGTGAGCCAGCACCCGGCTGCCCCTTGGCAGAGATTTTGCTTTCAGGGATGTCACTGAGGCCTAGGGAGGCTGAGCAACTTGCCCGTGCTCACAAAGCCAGTCAGTGGCGGGTCTGGGACTGAAACCAGGTCAGCCTCTAGTGCGGTGGTTCCCCAGCGTGGCCACACCTTTCATTCACCTGCAGAGCTGTTCAAAATCCCAGGGCCTGGGCCATGGTGCAGACCAGTGAAAGCACCCTCGCGGCGCAGGTGTGTGAAGGTCTCCAGGAGAGTCCAGCTGCACTGAGGAAGCTCCAGGGCCTGCCTGTGCGTCTTCGCGCCAGCTAGTGCCCTTTGTCTCATCATTTCCTGCTGTGACCCCCAGCCTCCATCCAATGGGCTCCTCTCCCCAATGCTCCCCTCCTTGAGCCCCTCAGGCCCCTCACATGTGGAAACCTCCCAGGCCGGCCAGGCCTGTGATCCACTTGCCCGGCCACAGTCCATCTGGGCTCCAGAACAAACACGGCCCATTAAGCAACTAAGCTGGTATTGGGAGCCAGAGCCTGGTGTGGGAATGAAAACTCTGATGACTCAGCAAAAGGAGGGGCACAGGCAGGGTGACTTCCGCCTGTAATCCCAGAGCCTTGGGAGGCCAACAGGAAAGGATCCCTTGAGCCCTGGAGTTTGAGACCAACCCGGACAACAAAGCAACACCTCTCTTCTACAAAAAATATTTTTCAAAATTAGCCGGGTGTGGTGGCTTGCTCTTGTAACCCCAGCTACTCAGGAGGCTGAGGCGGCAGGATTGCCTTAGCCTAGGAATTTGAGGCTGCAGTGGGCCAGGATCCCACTACACTTCAGACTGGGTGACAGAGCAACACCTTGTCTCAAAAATATACAAAGGAAAAGAAGGAATGGAGGGGGATTCTGGCCAGACTGGGTTGTCTAATTGAAATGGGATATCCATGGGAAAGGGCAGGGATGACAGAGGCCTCAGCTTCTGGAATGTTGGAGCCACAAGCTGAGCAGGGTGAGGGCACCCTGAGCCATTCCACTGTGTCACTCACCTGAGCTCTCGGGAACCTGGCCCGTGCTCTCCTTGCCTGCAGGGGCTGAGTGTGGATGCAGTGTAGGGAGTGCAGGGCTGCTCTCTGCCCTGAGGGTTTTGAAGGTCCAATGTGGGAGGGATCTAGAGTCAGGGCTGGGACTTGACTCAATTCCAGGAAGGAAGGGGTGGGGTTGAGGGTGGGGAAGCTTCTCTATTACCCTCCTTAGCACCACAGCTCCAGCCAAGCTTGGAGTGATGTACAAACCCAAGATGTGAGTTTAGTGTGTAGAAAACATAAGAATGAAAGGCAAAAGGGGCCAACATTGGTATTTGGGGTTTTTTGTTTTGTTTTGTTTTGTTTTTGAGCTGTCACCAGGCTCCTGACCCTCCCTCTGAACTCCACCCTGCAGGGCAGACCAACAGACAAGCTTTCTTTTTCTTTTTTTTTTTTGTGAGACAGAGTCTCACTGTCTCACCCAGGCTGCAGTGCAGTGGCACGATCTCGGTTCACTGTAACCTCCACCTCCTGGGTTCAAGTGATTCTTCTGTCTCAGCCTCCCAAGTAGCTGGGATTACAGGTGTGCGCCACCACACCCGGCTAATTTTTCCTTTTACAGTAGAGACGGGGTTTCACCATGTTGGCCAGGCTGGTCTCAAACTCCTGAGCTCAGATGATCCACCTGCCTCGGCCTCCCAAAGTGCTGAGATTACAGGCCTGGCTGACAAGCTTTCTCTAATTGACCTAGGCAAGAGAGGTGAGTGGATGGAAGGGAAAGGTGGGATAGGCAGGCCCGGGAAAAGTCACCTACCTGCTGGCTACAGGCCAGTCTTGAAGGCGGCAGGGGTTCTGGCCCAGTGCAGTCCATAGGCCCCCAGCAGCCCAGGCATTCTAGGCTCTGACCACAAGGCCAGTCTGGAGTGATGTGTATGGGCAGAGTGAAGGGACAGAAGTGGAGCAGAGCATGGACGTACAGAACAAGAAAGTGGCTGAGCATGGTGGCTCACACCTGTAATCCCAGTACTTTGGGAGGCTGATGTGGCAGGATCACATGAGGTCAGCAGTTCAAGACCAGGCTGGCCAACATGGTAAAACCCTGTCTCTACTAAAAATACAAAAATTAGCTGGGCATGATGGCGGGCACCTGTAATCCTAGCTACTTGGGAGGCTGAGCTGAGATGGTGGTTTCACACTTGTAATCCCAGGCACGGAAGGATGGCAGGATCACATGAGGCCTCCGCAGTTCAAGACCAGGCTGGCTACATGGCAAACCCTGTCTCTACCAAAAATACAAAATTGATTGGGCTGATACATATGCACTTGCAACCTGTGCCTGCTATTGGGAGGCTGAGGCAAGAGAATTGCTAAACTCAGGAGGCGGAGCTGCAGAGCCAAGATCATGTTGCACTGCACTCCAGCCTGGGCACAGAGTGAGACCCTGGTCTTCTCCAAAAAAAAAAAAAGAAAAGAAAAGAAAAAAAGACCAGTAGTAGTGATTCATGCCTGTAATCCCAGCACTCTGGGAGGACGAGGCGGGCAGATTATGAGGTCAGGAGTTCCAGACCAGCCTGGCCAACATAGTGAATCCCTGTCTCTACTAAAAATACAAAAATTAGCCAGGCGTGGTGGCACATTACTGTAGTCCCAGCTACTTGGGAGCCTGAGGCAGGAGAATTGCTTGAACCCGGGAGGCGGAGGTTGCAGTGAGCCAAGACTGCGCCATTGTGCTCCAGCCTGGGTGACAAAAAAAAAAAAGAACAGGAAAGGACAAGGACACTGGAGTCCCATCGCCCTGGGAGCCAACCCCAGCTTCATGGCTCCCGGGCAACCTCACAGAGCATCAGTAGAAGATCCTAGAAGAACAACAACCCTGGCAAGTGCTTTTCTTTCCCTGGGTTTGAAGGAGGCTCCACAGACAAGAGATCAGAGGCTCCACAGACAAGAGACTGGAAGCCACAGGGCCCCGTGGAGGGAGGGCATCCCCCCATCCTCCGTGGTCTTTGTCCTATTTGCATTCAATTCCAAGGTAAGTCTCCCAGGCTTTCAAGAATTGCATGAGCTCAGAGGCAAGTGGGGGAAAGCTGAGGCACGGGATTTCCAGGCAGAGAACAGCAACAGAGTAGAAGCTGTTCACATGCTAGTGCCAGGGGCCCCTCCTGCCTCCTCTGTGCCCCTGAGGAAGCCCCGTGACTGGCAGGACCTTGGGCTGCTAGCTCCACCCCCGCCCTCGGCATCCACCATAAGGCACCCTTGACTCAGACTTTATTGTACTCAAGTAAAAACCCGCCGGACCCGCGGCAGGTGGCACAGAAAAGAGGTAGGAGGTGGGTAGGGACACTGAGGATCAGGTCTCCAGCAGGTCTGTCCAGTGTGCCTGCAGAGGCAAGAAAGTTGGTCACAGGCAGACCAGGGCAGACAGCAGGGTAGGGCGCCCGCCACCAAAGCCCACTCACCTCTTCTAATTCTGAGTCTTCTACTTCTTTCTCAGTGTCCATCTGGCACAGCCAGATCAGGTCTCCCCAAAGCAGTGACTTCTCACAGCTACCAAGGAGAGGGGCAGGTAGGAGACACAGAGTCAGATGCCACAAGCCCCCTCCAGTATCGTCCCTGGATGCTGAGATCAGGACTCAGCTGCCTGGGCCTGGATTGCACAACTGGGCACCCTCTTCCCAGAGCTGGACCAGGCTGGGGCTGGGGGGCTGCACTCACCTAGGGCATTGGCCCTCTAGGGGCAGAAGCTGCCCTGGTTCTTCCCGAAGAAACTCCTCTGCCAGGCAGATCACGTGGGCCCTTAGCCAGCAGCCAGGGTTAGGGCAACACAAAGGCCCCTCTTCATCCTGTCCCAGGCAGCAGGCAGGTAAGAGACAAGCAGGGAGAGGGAGTGGCAGCAAGCCCCCTGTGCAGCAGGCACTGTTCCGGGCATCACACAGCTGCATTCCGTGAGGCAGCAGTGACTCTTATTTGCATCTTACGAATGAAGAAACTGAGGTGCAGAGCTAAAATCCTTGCCCCTGGGACTAAGCTGGTGAATGCCCTGTGAACATCAGCAGTGACTGATTAAGTCACAGCCTCATCACTGCAGCCAGGACTGAACTTCCTCACAGCTCAACAACCCCCGGCAGGTCACTGAATCTCCACAGGGCAAGTCCTCCACTCACTGGCAATTACCAGGAGCTCAGTAGAAGGCACCCATCATCCATTATTTTATTAAATATTTAGGCCGGGCACAGTGGCTCATGCCTGTAATACCAGCATTTTGGGAGGCTTAGGTGGGCAGGATCACCTGAGGTCAGGAGTTTGAGACCAGCCTGGCCAACATGGTTGAAACCCCGTCTCTACTAAAAATACAAAAATTAGCCAGGCGCGGTGGCAGGTGCCTGTAATCCCAGCTACTCCAGAGGCTGAGGCAGGAGAATTGCTTGAAACCGGGAGGCAGAGGTTGCGGTGAGCCAAGATCACACCATTACATTCCAGCCTGAGAAACAGAGTGAGATTCCGTCCCAAAAAAAAAGAAAAAGAAAAAGAAAATTTCTGGGCCATTGGCTCTGTGCAGAACTTTGTTCCACAGCAGTGGTAAGTGCTGCCCTCCAAGAGTGCAGTATGGCAGTTGGGGTGGGAGTGACTAATGAGATCAAGAAAACACGTAGCATGCCAGACAATATTAAGTGTTAAGGGAAAGGGGGTAGCAGAAAAGTGCACAAGAATGAGCTGCAATTCATTACATTGTTTTAGAGACACAGTCATGTCCAGGCATGATGGCTCACGCCTATAATCCCAGCAGTCTGGGAGGCTGAGGCAGGCAGATCACTTGAGATCAGGAGTTTGAGACC